TGTATAAATGAATATCGTAATTTTTAAATCAGCTTCCTATCAATATGAACCGAAATTTTGAAGGAAAGTGGACAGGCTGGTATAAATCAATATCGTAATTTTTAAATCAGCTTCATGTCCATTTAAACCAGAAATTTTAAAGGAAAGAGGACGAGCTTGTATAAATGAATATCGTATTTTTAAATCAGCTTCCTATCAATATGAACCGAAATTTTAAAGGAAAGTGGACAGGCTGGTATAAATCAATATCGTAATTTTTAAATCAGCTTCATGTCCATTTAAACCGAAATTTTAAAGGAAGAGGACGAGCTTGTATAAATGAATATCGTAATTTTAAATTTCAATATGAACCGAAATTTTTAAAGGAAAGTGGACAGGCTGGTATAAATCAATATCGTAATTTTTAAATCAGCTTCATGTCCATTTAAACCGAAATTTTAAAAAAGAACAAATTCTTAAAGGGAATATCGTAATTTTTAAATCAGCTTCCTATCAATATGAACCGAAATTTTAAAAGGAAAGTGGACAATAAATCAATATCGTAATTTTTAAATCAGCTTCATGTCCATTAAACAATAAAGAGGACAGGCTTGTGAAATCAGCTTCCTATCAATATGAACCGGACAGGGCTGGTAAAATTTTTTTAAATCAGCTTCATGTCCATTTAAACTGAAATTTTAAGGAAAGAGGACAGGCTTGTATAAATGAATATCGTAAAAATTTTACAGGCTGGTATAAATGAACAATATCAATATCGTAATTTTTAAATCAGCTTCATGTCCATTTAAACCGAAATTTTAAAGGAAAGAGGACAGGCTTGTATAAATCAATATCGTAATTTTTAAATCAGCTTCCTATCAATATGAACCGAAATTTTAAAGGAAAGTGGACAGGCTGGTATAAATCAATATCGTAATTTTTAAATCAGCTTCATGTCCATTTAAACCGAAATTTTAAAGGAAAGAGGACGAGCTTGTATAAATGAATATCGTAATTTTTAAATCAGCTTCCTATCAATATGAACCGAAATTTTAAAGGAAAGTGGACAGGCTGGTATAAATCAATATCGTAATTTTTAAATCAGCTTCATGTCCATTTAAACCGAAATTTTAAAGGAAAGAGGACAGGCTTGTATAAATGAATATCGTAATTTTTAAATCAGCTTCCTATCAATATGAACCAAAATTTTAAAGGAAAGTGGACCGGCTGGATAAATCAATATCGTATCAATTTTTTAAATCAATATCGTAATTTTAAATGTCCATTTAAACCGAAATTTTAAAGGAAAGAGGACAGGCTTGTATAAAATGAATATCGTAATTTTTAAATCAGCTTCCTATCAATATGAACCGAAATTTTAAAGGAAAGTGGACAGGCTGGTATAAATCAATATCGTAATTTTAAATCAGCTTCATGTCCATTTAAACCGAAATTTTAAAGGAAAGAGGACGAGCTTGTATAAATGAATATCGTAATTTTTTTAAATCAGGAACCGAAATTTTAAAGGAAAGTGACAGGCTTGTATAAATGAATATCGTAATTTTTAAATCAGCTTCCTGTCCATTTTAACCGAAATTTTTAAAGGAAAGAGGACAGGCTTGTATATGAATATCGTAATTTTAAATCAGCTTCCGAACCAAAATTTTAAAGGAAAGTGGACAGGCTGGTATAAATCAATATCGTAATTTTAAATCAGCTTCATGTCCATTTAAACCGAAATTTTAAAGGAAAGAGGACAGGCTTGTATAAATGAATATCGTAATTTTTAAATCAGCTTCCTATCAATATGAACCGAAATTTTAAAGGAAAGTGGACCGGCTGGTATAAATCAATATCGTAATTTTTAAATCAGCTTCATGTCCATTTAAACCGAAATTTTAAAGGAAAGAGGACAGGCTTGTATAAATATATATCGTAATTTTTAAATCAACTTCCTATCAATATGAACCGAAATTTTAAAAGGAAAGTGGACAGGCTGGTATAAATCAATATCGTAATTTTAAATCAGCTTCATGTCCATTTAAACCGAAATTTTAAAGGAAAGAGGACAGGCTTGTATAAATGAATATCGTAATTTTTTAAATCAGCTTCCTATCAATATGAACCGAAATTTTAAAGGAAAGTGGACCGGCTGGTATAAATCAATATCGTAATTTTTTAAATCAACTTCATGTCCATTTAAACCGAAATTTTAAAGGAAAGAGGACAGGCTTGTATAAATCAATATCGTAATTTTTAAATCAGCTTCCTATCAATATGAACCGAAATTTTAAAGGAAAGTTGACAGGCTGGTATAAATCAATATCGTAGTTTTTTAAATCAGCTTCATGTCCATTTAAACCGAAATTTTAAAGGAAAGAGGACAGGCTTGTATAAATGAATATCGTTATTTTTAAATCAGCTTCCTATCAATATGAACCGAAATTTTAAAGGAAAGTGGACCGGCTGGTATAAATCAACATCATAATTTTGAAATCAGCTTCATGTCCATTTAAACCGACATTTTAAAGGAAAGAGGACGAGCTTGTATAAATGAATATCGTAATTTTAAATCAGCTTCCTATCAATATGAACCGAAATTTTTAAAGGAAAGTGGACAGGCTGGTATAAATCTATATCGTAATTTTTAATCAGCTTCATGTCCATTTAAACCGAAATTTTAAAGGAAGAGGACAGGCTTGTATAAATCAATATCGTAATTTTTAAATCAGCTTCCTATCAATATGAACCGAAATTTTAAAGGAAAGTGGACAGGCTGGTATAAATCAATATCGTAATTTTTAAATCAGCTTCATGTCCATTTAAACCGAAATTTTAAAGGAAAGAGGACAGGCTTGTATAAATCAATATCGTAATTTTCCAATCAACTTTCTATCCATTTGAATTGAAATTTTAAAGGAAAGTTGACAGGTTGGTATAAATCAATATCGCAATTTTTAAATCAGCTTCATATCCATTTAAACTGAAATTTTAAAGTAAAGTGTACAGGTTGGTATAAATCAATGACATATATTCCCATTTAACCGCCTACCCATTTGAGCCGAATTTCACATATTGATATGAAACAATATCGTTGCATCCCAGTCAACTTTTTATGCATGTGATTTGCGATGCAAATGTACACAGGATGGTACAAATCAATTATGCTAATTTTCAATCACCTCTCTTTTCACCTGAACAGAGGTATCAATTCAAAGTAGGTAGGGTGGTAAAAATCAATAATGTCAATTTCCAATCAATTTCCTATCACTTTTACCTGCGATTCCAGAGCAATATTGATAGGCTGGTGGAAATCAATAACGTTTCTTTGAAATCAGTTTCTTATCCATGAGTATTGAAATTCGAATGTATTGTGGACAATCTGGTAGAAATTAGTAATGTTTGTTTCCAGGCAACTTACACTCTTCCGGATTCAAAAGTAAAATCGACAGGTCGTTGGTAATCTAAAAGCATTTTCCTAAATCCAATAATATTCCTAACTGAGCTTAGATTCATCATTAAAATAGACAAGGTGTCAGAATCAATAACCTTAGCTTCCAAACAAGTTTCTAGCCATGCTTGATTAGATTTGAAAGTAAAATCGACAAGTTTACAGAAACCAAAATCGATACTTTCCAATCAACTTTTTTATTCATCCGGGCCGAAGTTCGAAGGCAAATTTCTCAGAATGGTGGAAAACAATAACGCTGATTTCCAATAAATTTACTATGGTTTTGTATCGAGATTCTTAAGCAAAATGGTCAGGGTGTCGAAAATCAATAATGTTGTTTTTTAATCGATCTCCAGTCTATATGAGCCGACATTCAAAATCAGATTGAACCGGCTAATCAAAATCAATAAAAAAAATGTTCTCCAGTCAACTTCATAAGAATTTGAACCGAGATTCGAAATCAATAACAATAGCCAAACATCTTTTTTATCCAAACGGACCGAAATTCGAGAACAAGGTGTAAAGTCTGATGGAAATCAAATAGATTGCTTCCCATCCTTCTTGGCCAAGATTCGCAAACAAATCGTATAATTGACTGAAATCAAAAAATATTTAGATCCAATCCACTTCATATCAATATGAGCTGAATATCGAAAGTACTATAGTCAGGATGGTAGACATCAATAACAGTAGTTTTCAGCCAACTTCTCATTCATCTGAGCTGAAGTTCGAAAGCAGTATGTGTAAAGTGGCAGAAATCAATAAAGTTAGTTTCCAATCAGCTTCCCATCCATTTGAGTCGAGGTTTTGAATAAAATGGACAGACTGCAAATTTGCTATTCATCTGAGCAGAGATTCACAAGTGTTCAAGCTGGAAGAAATCAACAAAGCTAATCTCCTGTCAAACAATCTCGTGCAACTTTCCTTCATAATTTTTTCTTCATTCCGGAAATGGTGGCCATCGCTTGTTCGGAAATGACCGGAAGTCTTCTCATCTCTTTATGATTCTCTTCTGTACTTCAGCAGTCTTTGATTGAACGGTACATGAAATCGCCTCCCTTTCTATCTACGATCTTTAATCTTTCCAATTATTTTGCAATTGACTTTGGAAATATTCCACTGGGTCAACGTTTTCAGACACAATTTTTACTTTCATACTCGATGATATACTCAGTTTCGGTCAAGGTTTTAATACTTATCTCTTTTCTTACTCACTTTTAGTTTCACACCGAGAAAGACCGCTGGGATTGCTGCATCCACGATTTGAATTTTTTTTTTATCGTCTCCTGGTCTTGAAATATGAGATTATTCAGAAGATAACGTCGAGAGAGAATCAAATGCAATAAAAGCTAAATTTGTTTCTCAAAAATTATCATTCGTTATTATTATTAGCAATAATAAGATCTTGTGAAAATGATTATTTTATTCTTTGTGGGAAGAATCTACGATTCTGGACGAAAATCATACTAGTAGTATTGAATTGATCGCTGTCCTGCTTCTAAAGTTTGACCTAGTCATATTGTGGGGCTATCCCACTTGATTTAAAAAAACTATCCCTAACAACCGCTAGATGGCATTGCCGAAAAGCAATATAAAAGAAAAAAGTCTCTCTCTCTCTCTCTCTCTCTCTCTCTCTCTCTCTCTCTCTCTCTCTCTCTGCACGCTGATGCCGGCTAGTATATGTTGCAACTGAGTTATCAAACGCAACAGTAGAAAACCGGCATTTGTTTAACAACAAGTTAGTTACATTTTGCTGCGGGGGAACATAATGTAGAATAGAAACTAAGGAAGAGGATATTTAGCTATGAATGACTGTTTTCAGCAAAGGCTACTGCTGCTACTGCGCCACATGCTACTTGATGTAGGAGTATTTTTATATCATTCGTCCGACGTCAAAAACAGTATACAAAAAGAAACAGCGATCGTGGGTAAAGTTGCCAGACCCCCACATTTAAACTCAAGCGAAGATACCTCATATATTTTCTTCATAAATTGCTGCTTCTATTAACGTGGCTTCCCTTCATCAGCATCATCACACGTTCGCATCATTATGGTCATATATTGTCTTTTTATTTCATCGTCACTCTAGCCACCCCGTTCTGTGACACGCCTACAACGATTTTACAGACGTCTCCGACTATCCGTAACGAATCACACGACCGACTACGACCACCAATACTAACACTACGACGACGACAAAAACAACATCTCTCTCTCTCTCTCTCTTTTTTTTTTTTTTTTTTTACTCGCAGAATGCCGTAGTAGAGACATGACGTGTCTCGTTTCCCCGCCGAAGGTTTTCTTAATCCCCAACGTGTCGCATTATAAATAATATGAATACCCTAAGTTAATAACTCCTACCACACCAACGGACAAACGCTTCCGAACGTAAATATCTCAGCATCTCCAATAGGTCTTTACACCCACCGTATGGACGAATGACAGCATCTTAACATGCACACTTCCATTTATCTATTTTTATATTTCTCCTATTTAGTTTTGCTCGGAATGCACAAGTGGTGTAATGGTTAGTGGCTCAGAATGCAAAATCGGCGAGTCAAGTTCAAATTCCTGTCGAGTTCGTGGTATTCACTTTCGCGCAAATATCGTTAGAAAAAGGTATAAATCCATCTCTTCTTCCTCCGTTTATGGCTTAAACACTAGGTCGGACTTTTTAACCAGTCTAAGAGAAAGAAAACTGAAATCAAAAACGGTTGGTTATGGACTTAGGTACATTCCAGAAGTATTGAGACTTTTTTTTTTTTTTTTTTTGGAAATGACAATTATAACTATCCTAGATTATTGTAATTCTAGTATATCATTAATATTCATCTATTAAGCTGAGCCGCTTATTTTATTATTCTAGATTGAAGAAAACGACTGCCAAAGCCTTAGAACACACCCTACTAAACACTGCGTGTCACAACTGACGAGTTTGCAGAATGCAGTCGGGACGTGATGACAATTCGGAAGCACGCGATGCAATAAAGTTTTATGTTAAAAACGCTACAGAAATTTATTAAATACTCCAGACTGATTATGGATTAATTTGTGTGAGCCGAGCATCTGTTTATTACTGACACAGGAGGTTCAAGGACGGTAGAAAAGAGGCGAGAGATAGGGAAAGGGACGTCAGCACATCAGATCAGGTTGAGAAAAATCGTAATTTTCTGGATGAAGACCGTCGTGTGTCTATGAAGGCAATAAGTATACAGTTTGCAGTTGGTGTGGCAACTGTGCACAGAATTATTCATGGAGATCTGAACATGCGCAAAATTTGTGCAAAGTCTGTTGCCAGGGTGCACAGTGATGAACAGAAGGAAAGACACGTTGGTGATACGTTGATGGGTATCAAAACTGTCTCTTACCCTCCCTATAGATCAAACCTTGCTCGCTGTGATATTTGGTCGTTCCCTAGGCTCAAGGAATACCTCAGAGGCAATCGCTTTGAAAACATCGAGAAGATGAAGGAAGTTATGACAAGGGTCCTGGACATCTTCAGTTTGGATGAATTCTATGGGGCCTTAACGGTGTGGCCGGAGCTCTACAGCAAGTGCATTCAAATCAGAGGATACTAAATTGAAGCAGATTAGAGTTTTGTACTTCTTTGAAATTAATAAATGCCTCCCCTTAAAACTTCTGGAAAGCACATCGAAATTCCATTCCTATCGAGAAAACATCCGATTCGTATGATTCAATGGTATCACTACACTTGAAGCTCTTGACAATACTTACATCTCAAGGACCATACCATTAGATCTTTTGAGGGCCTTTGACAATGTGTGACCCAATGGTTTGCTGCACAAGCTCTCCAATTATGGAATCACTGGAAGAATCTTAATCCATCCTAACGGTTAGGTCCCTGGACGTAGTTATTAACGACCAGCCCTCCGGAGCCCTAGCAATCAAAGCAGGCGTCCCTAAGGGGTCACTTGTCGGACCAACCCTTTTTTACTTTACATAAATAATCTGCCTAAGTGTATACTCAGATCATGTGAATATCTATGCTGATGATACGACGATACACGGGTACACCTCCAAAAACTATGATGATCAGAGATTGGCTGCTGATCACTCGTCCGGTCTTACACTCAGTGGGGGTGGGGACCGTCCGGTTACATTCAGTGCCCCGAAAACCAAACTGCTTACATTCTGCCATCGCCAATCGGACACCGAACTACCACCAGTCACAATGAATGGATGTCCCTCGGGGAGGCTCCGCGCTTTGAGTGACTATTGAACTTTAATCTCACCCCTGACATCAATAGAACTCGTACACCCATCGATTCATCGCTAAAGATGCAGGGAATATAATCGGCTCCCTGTACCACTCCAGAAAGTAGTTGACTCCTCGTGTTATACTCTATCTTTACAAGAGCTTAGACCAGGCCTAAAATGAAGTACTGCTGTCATGTTTGGGCGGGAGCTACCCAGTCCTCACTTTTTCCAGTTTCGATAGAGTCCAAAAACGTCTCGGAGTCCTTGTAGGTGATTTTCCACCCTCCAACCTCTCTCTCTCTCTCTCTCTCTCTCTCTCTCTCTCACACACACACACACACACACACACACACACACACACACACACACACACACAGGTGGGACGTGACGTCTCACTGCTCTATCGCTACTTCCATGGAAAATATTCGAACAAACTGCCTTCCTTGGTTCCATCAGTCCTAACCTTCACGGCTAGGACCCGCCATTCCACTCACATTGTAGCAAACTACACACATTCCCTCCGTATTCCATTGGTGAGAAGTAAGTTTTACACGAACAGCTTCTTCCCGAGAACCACTGTTCTGTCGAAGAGACTCCCAAGATTATATTTCCCCGATCACTACATCCTTAACTTAGTCTAGGGTTAAGTGTTATCACTCCCTACCTCTTATCCACATAAACTGCCTCTTACTGTAACCCTCTACCTCGAGTTGCCCCCGTGCCTTGGACAGGGTGAACTTCACTGTGAAAAAAAAAAGAACTATCACTCTCATCCCTTTTATATGCAGTAATGTCGCAACATTAAATGGTAATCGCTTCAATATGATTAAACAGAATCTTTAAGTTTCTGTTTAATCTAAGTTATAAGAAGCAACAAAATATCGTAACTTAAATCGTTAATCTTTTCTGAATTTAGTTTGTTCTGTGTAAAACTCTCATTATCCTTTTGAAAAATGATACATTTTCTTCTGACTAAACTTAAACAAGTTTGCGTAGATTTTTATTCTTCATTCGTTAATTCTATTTATGTTTTAAATCTTTCCATCCCAAGCAAGGCGTTAATGCCGCTAAGATGCAAGGGATTTCTGGGAGTGGAAGAGAATGAGATGAGTTTAGTGAGGAGAAAAGAAAATAAAGGAAGAGGATTCAGAAAGACAGATATTGGTAATTGACATTGCATTAAAATTTTTGATGATTGTAGGCGTCAGGGAAGTAAGAAACCGAAAGAGAGTTCCACAGGTAAGAAGTGCAAGAAAAGAAACTATTAGAATAGAACTTATGGTTACATCTATTTCAACCGTAAAACAATGAGATTTAGTAGCCAATCTAGTAGTACACTTAAATTCATGTGGTTGAGGCATGAAGAAGGAGAGTTCATTAAAACAACTGCCATAAACGTATTTATAGATAAGAAAGAGGGAAGCCATGTCACAGTAGTGGGAAAATGACTGAGGTTGAGATGCCTGGTCAAAACTGATAACATTGCAGACACTTCTTTGGATTTTGGAAAATCTTGAGATATATAGCAGGAACACCAGACCAAATATGGCAGCGATATTCAATGCATGGACGAATGGTAGATTTATAAATGTGTAAGATAGATTCTGATGAGAAAAATTGTAAACAACATTCTTATAATTGTAAACAACATTCTTAGCAGCGTTTGCTTCCAAGAATGTTGGGTTACTACAACTGATTCAATATAATCGTACCACTCAATGTCAGTAGAAAACGTGAGACCAAGAAGGCGAATTGGGGTTAGCATTAGACATGTTGATGAACGGAATTTTAAAAAATGGTTCTCTAGTATGATTAAAGGATAGTAGTTTTGTTCTGGGGGCGTTAAAATTTACAATCCATTTCTTACCCCAGTTAACAACTGATCAGAGTTCGTTTTCGAGAGTAGATGCCAGACTTGGTATTAAGACAGGTGTCTTAATAGTTGTGTCATCGGCATAATTAATTTAGTTGGGAACTTAGATCGTTGGTGAAGACAGGAAACAACGTTGATCCAATAGAGCCCTGAAGAAGACCCACATTAATGGGAAGTAATGTCGAAAGGTGGCCTTTCAACACGTCCAGACTTTCATTACCCGATTTGTTAAGAACAATTAGATTAAGTCAAATATCGGCTCAAAGATATCATAGACCTTGGGTTTGTGGAGAAGGCAGGTATACCAAATACTGTGCTTGCTTTGCTTTATTCTAAAAATCCATAAACGATCATTTCTTTTTCTCCTCACTGCTCGGCTTATGACCATATCACGTTGAAACACCGGTTCTTGTACGATCACCAAAGTTAAGAAACGTCGAATCTGGTCAGTACCAAGATGGGTGACTGCTTGGGAACACCAGGGGCTGTTAGCTGGGGTATGCGGGTGGCGTAATAGATAATGGCTCGGAATTCGAAATCGAAGAGATGAGTTGCAATTCAAGTCAAGTTCGTTATATTCACTAACGTGCAAACACCCTTCAGAAAGGCATGAATCCATCTCTTCTCTCACCAGCTAAGGGTTAATTAGTAGGACTTGTATCAGTAAATCACCATTAGCTACCAAAATGTTTTACAATCTAAAAATATTTTCTGGCTTTTCACTCTGCAAAAGGTTGATAAACTGTAAAAAAAACAACTGAATAAGACATTAGTTTAGATGTTGATATTTTTTGGTGCATTTTTGTCAAGAATTACATGTTCATTCAACAAAATGTAGAAATATTACATGGTGATCTTTTATTGTTGCTGATAATTAAGATAATTTTCTTTAAACTTTTATACATTTAAACCATTACCCCGCTCTATATACAATTACACGCTCTATAAAACATTACCCCGACCCATAAACCATTACCCCGCTCTATAAACTATTACTGCGCTCTAGAAAACATTACCCCGACCCATAAACCATTACCCCGCTCTATAAACTATTACTGCGCTCTAGAAAACATTACCCCGACCCATAAACCATTACCCCGCTCTATAAACTATTACCGCGCTCTATAAAGCATTGCCACAACCCATAAACCATTAACCCGCTCTATAAACTATTACTGCGCTCTATAAAACATTACCCCGACCCATAAACCATTACCCCGCTCTATAAACTATTACCGCGCTCTATAAACTATAAACCATTAACCCGCTCTATAAACTATTACTGCTCTATAAAACATTACCCCGATTCATAAACCATTACCCCGCTCTAGAAACTATCACCGCGCTCTATAAAAAACCCGACCCATAAACCATTACCCCGCTCTATAAACTATTACCATTCTATAAAACATTAACCCGACCTATAAACCATTATCCCGCTCCATAAACTATTACTGCGCTCTATAAAACATTACCACGGCCCATAAACCATTACCCCGCTCTATAAACTATTACTGCGCTCTATAAAGCATTACCCCGAGCCATAAACCATTACCCCGCTCTATAAACTATTACCGCGCTCTATAAAACATTAACCCGACCTATAAACCATTATCCCTCCATAAACTATTACTGCGCTCTATAAAACATTACCACGACCCATAAACCATTACCCCGCTCTATAAACTATTACTGCGCTCTATAAAACATTACCCCGAGCCATAAACCATTACCCCGCTCTATAAACTATTACTGCGCTCTATAAAACATTAACCCGACCCATAAACCATTACCCCGCTCTATAAACTATTACCGCGCTCTATAAAACATTAACCCGACCTATAAACCATTATCCCGCTCCATAAACTATTACTGCGCTCTATAAAACATTACCACGGCCCATAAACCATTACCCCGCTCTATAAACTATTACTGCGCTCTAGAAAACATTACCCCGACCCATAAACCATTACCCCGCTCTATAAACTATTACCGCGCTCTATAAAACATTACCACGACCCATAAACCATTACCCCGCTTTATAAACTATTACTGCACTCTATAAATCATTACTCCGTTCCACTCACATTAACCCTCTCTATAAACTATTACTGCGTTTTATAAATCAATAACACTCTCATTACCCCGCTCTATAAAGCATTACCCCGCTCTATAAAGCATTACCTCGCTTCGTGAATCATTACCCCAATCTATAAACCAATACCGCGCTCTATAAACCATTACCCCGCTCCATGAACCATTACCCCGCTATATAACCTGTTACCTCGTTCTATAAATCCAGTGAGAAGATACTGAAATAGGAAAGCTAAAAAATTTTTTGTTTGTCCTTTTTTTTTTTCAATGCCATGTAAATTTAGGACGTATGCGATCATGGCTTCAACCAATTTTCTTTTTCTTTTTTTCTAAATTGCTATGACTTCTTGACTAAGTGCTTTTCCGTTGTCTTCACTGTATTCAAATATAGAATATTAATTCTCGTAGACTGACCGGCAGCCAAGCGTTAGAGGATGCTTCCTCCAATCACTATAATCTTAACCCGTTCATGTCTATGGTCAACTGTTATATTTCTCACATATCCACATAAACTGTACCTCTTACTGTATAACCCTCTACCTCGAGTGACTCCTGGGGGCTTGTACAGTGTGAACATTATTGTAAAAAAAATTAATAACTTTATGCGATATGAGTTTAAGTCCGATTTCATTAGAGGATTTAACGGACTTTCCCAGGCCGAACTTTTAAGTCAGTAAAATAAAAAAGTAGATCCATTTCGTTTCGTTTGACAACGTCATTATGTCGGGATATGCAAGGAGTAAGCGTAACGCTTACCAACATGGAAAATGGAATCAGCGAGTCGAGTTCAAATTCCGGGCTAGTCTACTGCGTTCGCTTTCACGCTAATTCTCTCAGGGAAAAGGCATGAATTCATCTCTTCTTCTTCATCCGACTCTCCCTCCCGACTCGCTATGGTTTTAAAATACAATCTCTTTTAGTTTTGGGTGGCTTCTATTATAAGAAAAGGACGATTCTGATTCCAAAACAGTGGAAAAGGAAACAGGAAACTAAGCCACTATTTTCACAAGATATCCTAGTAATTCACAGATAATAAAAAAAAAGAAAATGTGGAGAGCCGTGATCGCCTACGTCTTGCAGGGATATGACATTAAATTATATATATATATATATATATATATATATATATATATATATATATATATATATATATTATCAGGGATTCGAAACTTTTAAAGTTTTCGTCAACGAAGATGTTGACCGAACGGATAACTTTTCAAAAAGGACAGCGTTAAAAACGACTGTACACTGTGCATTACAAATACTTTTAACTGAATCCCTGTAACAAAAATTGAGGGGTAATCAAGAGCATGACCACGTCATATATTTCTTAATCATCTTTTTAAAAGAAATTGCTTTAAATTAAGCTTTTAAAATGGTGTTAACGAAGGAAGTGGTGCGCGCGCATTCAGGGATCGATTCAGATGAGAGCCAAATACCGAAGTGAAATGAGTTAAGTCGAGTGATGTGAAAGGAATGAGTGACTGAGTCACAGAGTAAGCCGACAACAATTCAAAAACGTGAGTCATTGATTTTTCCGGGCATCCCGAAAACGAGGAAGAAAGAGGAGGAGGTGTTGAGACTGAAAGAATCGATGATGATACTGACGAATACGACGATGATGATGCTGAGTTTCGACGAAACCAACGCGGCATCAGCATCAGTCAACTAAAAAGGAAACAATTTCTAAAAACTCTTTCTCTCTCTCTTCTATCTATCTATCTATCTATCTATCTATCTATCTATCTCACGCACATATTTTTGGATTTTTCCTCTATCTACATGCTGATGCCGGCTAGTATACAAAAGGAAACAGCGATCGTGGGTACAGTTGCCAGACCCCCACATTTAAACTCAAGCGACAATACCTCATATATTTTCTTCATAAATTGCTGCTTCTATTAACGTGGCTTCCCTTCATCAGCATCATCACACGTTCGCATCATTATGGTCATATATTGTCTTTTTATTTCATCGTCACTCTAGCCACCCCGTTCTGTGACACGCCTACAACGATTTCACAGACGTCTCCGACTATCCGTAACGAATCACACGACCGACTACGACCACCAATATTAACACTAAGACTGCTGCTACGACGACAACAACAACAACAAACTATCACCACTACTGCAACTTTTTTGAACCTATTTAACATTTTCACCTCCGCTACTACGACGGCTGTTACAATTAATACATCATCATCCTTATTAATCATTGCAAAAGCAATTTATAATTACAACTACAAAAGTCACCGTCATATCAGCGTTAGAAAAATACTATTACTACTACTAATTTGAGCCCATTAACATCTTTTACTCAATTGCCATTCTGTTTCGTCACAATATACTACTACTACTCATTATTACTACTACTACAAGCAAATAAAAACAAAAATAGTTGTTACCCCCACAAAAAAAAATTCTACAAAAAAAAAGCATACACACCACTTCGAACCCACTCAGTGACGACGGTCATCCCTCTTATTGCAAACACACCCAATTACCACGTTATAAAACAACAGCTACTGATAATTGGTCCTACTTAGAGTGCCGCTACTATTCCAGAAAGCATTTTGCAAGATTTTCAAGTCCGCGTCACAAACAACCATTAAGAAGATTTTCACACAATGAAAACCACCACTACTACTACTACCATTACTACTACGACGATCACTCCCAGTACATTCATGAAGAAACCCTTTTTAAATTCCTCGGGACTTCTGCTGCAACATCTACTACTACACCACCACTACTACTATGATAACCACGACAGCAATAAAAAGAAATTAAATAAATAAACACTATTACTTATTAACATTGGCACAACTGTTACCGCTTAAATTATTACTGGTAAGTGTTTGTTTTGTTTTGTTTTTTTTTTTTCCGAAGCCCTCCTTAAGACTTCATTCAATTAAAGAATTTCATTAGTCTCGACAAATACTGTCGGCGCCACAACAACAATTGCCAAGATTACTACTACTATTGTTACAACCACTTCTTCCACTACCATTACTACAACGGCCACCATCTTCATCATCACCCTGTTTCATTATAATTTACTCACAACATCATTTGGAAACTGCAAACTAAAGTTAATCATAGGTAACAATTGCCTGTAATAACAGGGCGTGTAGCTATCGCCGTTGATAGAATTCCAATCTTTTTTTCCCCTCCAAATTCCAAATCGAAACCAAAAGGACGATCCAGGCTTCATTTAACACTGCCGAGACGATCCGACACCGGCTGTGCTTTTTAAAACACGTCTCTTTATCATACCGGCTCATCGTATATACAACACCTTATACACACTCTGCTTCTGTTTGCTTCTTTCGATAAAATGATATTATCAAACTCGCTCTCACAGTAAGTAGCGACAACGTACCAAGAAGCGCCTAACATCGTATCATTATATATATATATATATATATATATATATATATATATATATATATATATATATATATATATATATATAAATGATAGACATATGCATATTTCTCTATCCTCTGCAAACAGACAAACAACCAAGCACACATACACACATGCACCATTATAAATACCGTAGCCATGGTGACTGGTACTGCCTCCATTACTAACCCAGTGAAAAATACGGACCTCTTTTCCTTGCCTACCAACAGTGCTTCTAGTAATGTACGACTATCATCACCAATACTACCAGTGAATGGTACGTACTACGACAGGGCATGGTATTACAATTACTGCCATTAGACTATCACTGTCATCTTATATACGACTCCCGGTTATTGTTGTTGTTGTTGTTGTTGCTGCTGCTGCTGCTGTTGCTGTTGTTGTCATCGCGTCTACTATCCCAGTACACACATGCCATCTTCATCACTAAGCCAGAAATACTACAATACCGCTTCAAAAACAATAATTCCACACATTTCCACATCAATACAGCACGCGTTACAATCAACCCCCTCACATACACAAACACCAATATTGCTGTATTTCCAGAGACACGACTGGAACCGCAAACATGTTCATTTTGATATTAATCACCATCATAGTCCCAACTACGACAATTTTGACGATGTTTTAAAAAAAAAACAAAACTTCATGCCATGACCCAAGTTCGGATATTATTGGTATTTTAATCCCGTAAAAGTAAAGCAAACAGCACCAGTGGTCATTAATTTAAATATCATTATTTCCCTTCGTAAACAAAATGTCTCCTCCCAAACCACCAACTCTTCAGCTGCCGCAGCGATCACACTCCTCCCCACCGTCTCCAACGTCCCCAGCGGCGGCAAGAGCCCCACGTCCGATCCGAGCATCGACTCCACCAATACAGCTACCCCCGATGTCATTGGTTCCTTTGTCGCCATCACCGTCAACGCCACATTCGTCCCAGTCGTCACCATCGCCTACGATCCCGACCATGATGCCACCAGCAAACTTAATTCCGTCAGTGATACCCCCGTCGCCTCCACCATCACCACCACCCCCGCCACCTGGACCACCGTCGCCGCCCTCACACCCGCCGCCACCGACCCCTATGCCATTGTCACCAGTTGTACCACATCCTCCAGCACATCTTCCACCAGACCCTCCGTCGCCACCCTCACATCCAGCTCCGCCTCCACCACCAATGTTTGCACTACCTCCACCACAACTGCCGCCACCACCTCCAGACTCTCAACCGCCGCCGTTACCACCCAGACTATTTACATTGCCTAGGCCCCATCGGCCATCCACTGGACATTCAGCCTCACCCCCGTTGCAAAGAGCGGGTCAACTCGACCCTACAAACGCCAGTGCCACACTACCGTTGAGATCTTCCAAAAACTTCTCACACCACCATCGTCCTTATCACTGAAAACGATCATCACCTTTCAGTGCCTACTCAATAAAAAATATCTCATCAGTTCGTATACAATCAATCTGGTTGGACGCCATCAGTCACCTGATAAACATCGGAGAAGGAAATGTTCAGATCTTCTAACAGAAAAGATGAGTGCACAATCAAAATAAACCTTCCACAGTTCTCCGTTCATTTACTTAAAGTTTCTGGAAAAACGGCTCCGATCAAACAATCAGAACTGGCGCATGCGTAGAAGGAGTTTCCAAAATGGCGGTTACGGATAATTCACGCATAGCAAATCAAACAATCAAGCCATTATTCATTCACAGCGGAATATCCTTACCATAGTCTTTCTTCTATCGGCCAAATTACTCTCTCTCTCTCTCTCTCTCTCTCTCTCTCTCTCTCTCTCTCTCTCTTAATTTTTTAAGGCTTCTGTCTCTGACAAAAAAAATATTCATATCAGAAGTGAAGCTATGGCAATTACAATCGCAAAGAAAAGAGGACTGTGTTTACGCTGGATAAACGAAAAGAAAATATTATTAAAATTAAATGATAAAATTCTTCAAAAATCAAAAAGAGTCGGCCAACGCAAAACACCAAAAATGGTTTCTGCAATTAATAGCAAGTGTGGGTCGCCGAAAGAAAGTTGATCTGTACTGGCAAATAAAATGGGGATAGACAAAAGCAAAGTTAACAAAACGGATTACGAACAATTTTTGAACTTTCGAAATACTGATTTATAACATCACATTTAAAAGAAATCTCTTGAAGTAAAAAAACAAAAAAAACAAAAAAAACAAGAAAATGCAAACAAATCCTATATGAATCTTGGTCGGATCACAAGATCTAAACCATTAAAGAGATTTTTCGTCCTTTTTTGTATTACGGATTTTTCAACCGCGTAACTGTTCGGGTAAAACAAACTATATTTTTTTTCAGAGTTTTACTTGTTCTACCCGACGTCGGGAGTTGAACTTTAACCTTTAAGGTCATCAGTCTGCTGCCTCAACATAGAACGATTACTTCTGGATTCAAAAAGGCCCTTGTTTAAATGTCTCATTTGGAAAAGGACTGTTTCAAGCATGCGTCTGTTATGTATGGCAAATGGATGTTCGATGACTATTTTAGCCAAGAATTTTGTTTGTCATGTTTCTTAACTTGGTTTCTTTTACAGATTCTTTCATAATTCCTTTCTCCTTTTTTTATTATGCATTGCTTTTCTGTTGATAATCAATGTTTTATTTTAATGTGTGCTATACATTTATTCGCTGTCATTCGGAAACTGATAGTAGTTTTTTTGTTTTTTTTTTTACACAGAAGTTTGTGCATTCAGTAAACAATTTACAACGACTGAGTTTGCAAAATCTTCGATAGGTTTCTGAGAGCCGTTCCTATTCCTCAGAATCATTTCTAAGTTATATATTTGTATTACTACTATCACATTAAAAAAAAACAATTAGGCTTGCGTATAGCAAATAACTCCCACATTGTAAGGTCCAAGTTATTTTCACTCTAATTTTTTACCTCACTTTTTGAAGGCGTCTGAGATAAAATACCTTGATCCTAATAATCAATGAATGTGTGAACCATCCACATTGGCAAACTTATATACATACATACATACATATATATATATATATATATATATATATATATATATATATATATATATATATATATATATGCAAATAAAGTAAAGTCCTCATAAAAAAAAAAACACAGTACAATTGAGAATAGATAAATAAAAGTTCATTTTACAAATTTTTCGACTTGAAGTTTCACAGAGACACAGATCCGATCGTCAGGTTAATATAAATGTATTGAATTAATTAAAAAAATATCACATTTATTAATTCTATAATATTTATTTTAATCAAGTATTATATCACATTTATCATATATATACTTAGAAGATGTATTTTTTAAATCCGACATTTATATTACTTCAAAAGTTATTATAGTGAACACTTTATATTTGAAATAACATTTCAAATATGAAGTATCCACTAAATAACGTTTAAGTAATATATATATATACATACATACATATATATATATATATATATATATATATA